CTGTACTCGAGATTCCAAGCAAGGACAACCCGTACGATGCTAGTAAAGACTCCATCCTCAAACGGGCTAAGGGGCTTTACTCCGCCGAGGACTTTCGCTAGGATATTTTTTTGTTTACTTACTCCGCATAATATGTTTTTTCTCTATTTATAATAAATATATTGCCACTGTCTTTTCTTCTCATACAACCACTATCATGGTAGACTTACTTTTGATCTTTTTAGATGAGCCAAAATTTAAAAGTACAAACATCCAAATTGGATCCGAATGCGAAGGAGTACCTTCCACCTTCAAATGCGGTACTCTCTGAAGTTAAATTGGAGGTGACAGGCCTCATAGAAGATTCAATAAATGATGATCGAAGATCTTCCGACAACATTGAAAGGGCAAGTCTCAAATTGCTCTTATTTTTCTTTAGCTAGTTCTAAGCTGTGCGGATTTGACCCCAGCTGCATATTTAGTCGGCGAAATAATAGTTCGGACCGCGACCACAGCAAGTAACCAAGGAAAAGACAAATGCGCTGCCAGCTTTCGTTTTCTACGTGGACTAAGAAAGACTTTCATAAATAAAAAGGCTGCCGCATTAGCAGGTCTCGAAAGTGGAGTAGAGCTTCCACTTCATGACCTTACTAACGAAGTTATTAGACAACACTTACCACTCCTTGTCACCAAAGGTAAACGAGTCGTCATAATTCACTTTCATTTTTTAATTTCATATATCTGCGTAAAATGTTTTTACCAGGGTATAGGGATGGGACGAACCAGTACCTATTGGACACTGTATCATCTTGCTTATCCCACGTTCGTTCCCCAATTTTCTCATTGCATGATGCAGGTTTTGCGTTGAAGGGCCGATCTTATTTTCATTCCCAAACCACGTTAGAACACCCCTTGTTTTATTAATCGGTTACGTGATATAATTTGTTTGCTTAATGACCATTTATTTATTTTTTGTCCTAACCCATCTGGCAGAATCTCGTTTCAAGCGGTTAATTCTTGTTTATCTTGTAGGAACTGTCGATGCGGAGGGCGACGCGGATGGAGCGAGAAATAGCCCTGAGTCTCCTGTGCCACCTAATCCGGAATTTTCTGCTGCTAGTGTTGTCCGCTTCCTGGGCCTTCTGATACGATTCTCGTATTCTGAGGACCGAGCTGATCTGCCCCCACCTCTGTTGCCCTGTACTGATTTATGCCGAATAACCGGTCGAAGCCTCTTATTGCTATTGAATGCGCCCCGTCCCACTCTTCAAGAAATCGAGAAGATGGAGGGTGGCCTATCAGGAATACCTAACGATCAGGTTCAGGAGGCCCCGTCGCATGATTTCCTTTCTGAACTCCTGGACACTATGACAGCCTGCCTTCCCAGAATCTTATTGCTATTAGACGAACCAGATTATCTTTCTGCTCCTTGGAGTCAAGCTTTCGGACACGACCAGATGTACAAAGGAAATTTTGATGAAGCACTTAATAGTGGGACTAGCCAAAAAATTACCGTTAATTTACTTTGTAGCTTATTGTGTGACATCCTAAAATTGTCCAGATATTTGCTCGTTACGGGACATCTGCCCGGGTCAATCAGCCTTAGAAATTATATTTTAGATCTTCTACTCCAAGCTCATCATAGCCTGTCCATCAGTCGCCTTCAGAATGAGTACAAAGCCATCGATGAGCAGAATCATAGCAATGAAGCGAGCGAGGGATTAACCAACTTGGAAGAAGAGGGGGATGAAGTCGAGGGGGCATTTATGGAGTTTCTGAAGGAGACTAACCAAGTCTGAACGCTTAGTATCCATGTCTTTCCTCTCTTCCCTAAGGTCTTTAACCGGTGTATTTTATACAGTAAGCTGTAAATTCGCAATTATCTGTTAACCATTTTGATTTTCATTCATCTTGTTTTCGTTCAATGGAATCATTCCTGCATTTACCGATTTGGTTGTATTTATTATTTTCACCTCTACTATTTAGCATTACTTGCTGCATGTTTATACCCAATTCATATATTTAGAAGTTTTAATTTTTACATATTTAATTAGGGTGGGTTTGGATGGCTCATAAGTGGCATATTCTCCAGTAAGTCCAGTAGATGCTTTGTGCGTTTTCTGTAATTAACGATATAAAAGAATAGTTTAGTAAATGTAAGACAAAATGTGTCTTAAAATTTGTTTCTCACATCTCTCTCTGCATCGAAGTCACTCCCAGCATCGCTTTGGAAAGTTCTTCACATTTTGCCATAAGAGTGTAGGTGAGCTAGGATTGATAATAAAAATGAGAAAAGTTCTTGGTATTTTATAATTGAAAAGAGTGAACAAGCGGAAAGATTAATTGATTGTGCTTGAAACAGGTCACTCGGGGGACCCGTGAGAATAATCTCTTTTTGATTTAGGATCCCAAGGATAGGCTTTCCGTGAGATTCGAATCCGATGGTGTGCTGTTCAAAGAGCTTACCGTTCGAAAAATAGGTCAAATAAATGAGTTTTGTTAAAGGACTCAATCGATCGAGCAGTATGCTGTTTCAGTGCAAGCAACCGATATAACTATTAAAGCGTGGTGTACGACTAGTTGGGAAGCTTAAAACAAAGGCCAATCACAGCGGTGTGTGTGCCGAACTTTGAGGGTTTCAAGGTAGCACTTTCTAACAGAAGCTAGAGACTATAAAGTTGTTGACAACAAAGCAGTAAGATAATTTTATTGTGTTTGGTGAAGACCGACCAGATTATATAATGAATATGGTTAAAAAGGTACTTTAATCGCCTGCTAAGTATATTCAAAGGATAGACTAAAAGGTAGACAGAAGAATAAATCAGCTGGTGTGACCAGGTATTGATTTATTTAGAGAAAATGTCATGCTAAAGTTTGATGCTGACTAGTTGAATTAAATACAAGACCGATAAGATGGGATGTCGGTCTTAAATGCAAACCATCCGGAATTAATGAAGCTTGTATGGTCAAAAATAAATCAGGATTGAGACAAATGAACCCAAAAATCAACGCGATGTCAAGGTCGACTAATTTTGCATATTTACGTTGTATGTCTGACCATAGGAACACATATTTAGCTATGCTTATGATGTCGTACATAAGGATGTCAGTTTTATTAAAATTTTACCCTTTTATGGATTAATCTTAGGTATGTAAGTGAAGATCTCAAATAATAAGACATCAACTGTTCATCCGCACGAAGTATGGCGTGATAGGTCAATAAGGCGAGGATTCATGAGAAAAAATAAGTTGATGATGCGAGATGAATGTTTAGGTATATATCTGGCATGCACCCAACACTACGGTATGTTGCGGAATGGGTGTTCTTTCTGGTTATCAATTACCGTGTTATTAATTGCAGAATTACTAGTATCTGGCTCAGAAATAGCATGTACTTCGCATTTGTCAACTCCTAAAATAAGCCAAACTGCGAAATGAGAGAATATATATTCTGGCAAAGACAATATTCTTTAAAGATTTTTTGTATTTCTTGCATGGACAATGCCTTCTTGAAATCAGATAACATTACAATTCCTAACAAAAATATTGGCAGCTAACGTGTAGATACCAGAAGATATTCGTGGTCACGAGAATATTGTGCTCGCCATAGAAGGCAAGACAATCGGCAGGATCCGATATGAAGTTTTCAGCGATTTGGAAATGACGTTGCGAAGGTATAGACGGAGAGATAACTCAAAATTCCATCAAGAGTTTATCCTTAAGCACTTTTTCATAAATGGAATTCGAACCTGTTGCTGAATTTATTGAAGTTGGGTACATCGTATGATGGCACCTTCCAGCCTATGAATCCTTGAAATACGTTTGAGTGGAGATAAATTTAATGCGATGGGTCATAAATAAAACAGCAGTAATATACTAAGAAGGCCAGAATATTCTAGCCAAATTTTTCTAATTAATCTAATACATGCCAAAACGTGAACTAAAGGTTAAATATGATCTGAACCAGTTGGAATTTATTATATTATTTCCAAAGAAAATGGGAAAGTTCCCAGTGCTAATAATAATGAAGACACGACAAAACAGCCATTTAAAGAAATGCTATCCTCTTACACTTGTAATAACTTTAAAGCAAAGGATGCTTAATAATAAAAGTAATTAAAAG